TAGAGCTATAATGCGTGTGCGTCCGTCGCGCATTATAAATAGATCGAGGTTGGTCCACTCACTTGTAAATACGCTAGGATATTATAATTGCTCCATAACGTACATCTACTCGTTTTGACACGACACAGACGCGATTTTACTCTGACAATATATTCGACAATATGTTCGAATGCGTTCGTCTAGATTCTAGGATTTAAAGACCCGGAATCGAAAGATTACAAGCTAGTTTTGATTACGAGCGATTATTATTAGATTTACCTTGTTGAAGATGTCCGATTAAATTTGACACAAACGACAGATCTAAAATGCGACGAACTGAGAAAATTGATTACCATAAGAGATACGATTTTGGAAAAATTCGAGTTAGATCATCCGAGCAATTATAGCGGGATTAATGAAACGATTGTGGAGTGGACTTGAATAAAGGGGCTCCTCGACACCGGCGGCTCCTTTGTCCGCGACTTGAAAATTTAATGGGACAGCGAGTTCTTAGGAGAGAAGACTACAGAAGAACGTCCAAAAAAATGGGAGCAGTATCGAGTGCCACTAGAATTCTTGCTGAAAGACGAAAAAGGTGCTGAAATTCCCCCTTTTTGCTTCATCCTTTCCCGTTATCCGTTTACCCGTATCTATTGCGATGTGATTTGTAATAATTATTGACGTCTCGAGCTTCTACTTGATTGTCACCGGCTGTACGCGCGTTAAAAATTTCTTCCAAGGATATCTCCCGAATGGGGCAGCTTTAGGCCTTTCGGTTAGGCCTCTCGAAGTGTTATCCGACGAAGTGTATCGTTGCGACGTTCTTTGTCCGTATAGTCTTTCATAGAGAGTATCCCAAGAGAGACGTACTCGTATATTAATGATGCGAAGATTGGTTGAGAAATTACGATAAATGAACGCGCGATATTAAAGCTTCGTCGAAAGCGAAGCAACTTTGAGTATTCTTTTGAAGATAAATCGCCAAACTGTATAATATTTACTACGCCTTTCTTAGGATACTTTAATAAACGGGGACTTTTCATCGTGATTAGTTTACGAAGCCGAAGCCCCGTCGATTCCTGTTAACTTTATTTTAGGGAATTTAGCGTTGAAATCACTGCGAAAATATCAGTGCGTATTAATTATTCATTATTAAATTAATCGGAACTATATTACGTTTTAATGAATCGAGATGAATTATATGTACGTTAAACGTAATTAGTACTCGCGGCGCAGCACAGAAATCTGAAACCGTTGCGGAAGTAGGACGATTGTCGGTCTCTGTTGCTGCTCCATCGGTGCATCCTCCGTGTCCCGTTGTTCCGATTGATTTTGTTCCCAGGATTGTGAAGGGCCACCGGTTTCTCTAGGGAGAGAATCAGAGATAGACAATTTTATGACTTAGATCGTTATTTTGTCATGGCCTGAAGGGATAAAAGAGAGGGTCCTAAAATTTCGAAATTATCACAGATTTAGAAAGAGTTCTTTCCAACAAAAGACGCAGATGACACCATGTAGCATGTAGTGAATCGTTATTTACCAATGTTAAGCAAAGACGAAATGATGATTCTCAGTGTACCGCGTTACATTGTGTTATCCAAGTAAAACACAGAGTCATAATTAAGTTATAATGATGTCATAAGACATCATAATGACATTATTTGATACTTAAAAATGAATTTATAAATAACAAATAAGATTGCAATGATGTCTTTATGATGTATTATTATGATTTCAGTGTCCTACTTTAATATCTGTGTCTTTTACTGAAAATCATCCATTGTAACTTACGATTAGATCGTTATTTTGTCTACTCTGAAGAAAGAAAGGGAGGAGTCTTAAAATTTCGAAATTGTTGCACAGATTTAGAGACATACCGGGTGTTTTCCAGCAAGAAGTGCAGATGACACAGCATAGTGAATCATTACAATCTTGTTTGCCACAATGTTAAACAAAGATGAAATATTTCACTGTGTTACACTGTCATTTATCTTTTGTTGGAAATCACTCATCGTAATATGTGAATAAGAATCTACGGTACTATAGTAGTCCATTTAAGTTCTCTCTATTTTTTTTTTTTTTTTTTTTAAATTGAAAAGGCAAGATACTTAATGGTTTCGAGCCTTACGAAAAGATATGAAGCTGGAGGGGAAAAGGATCGCGTTGCTGAAAGGGCGACTTAATTCTGTCAACGCGACGATCGCTATAAATTGCAATACCATCGGGGTCTTGCCGGATAATGTTGGTAGCGACAGGAATATGAAATTCCAGGAGAGATTGAAAGCGTACAAGGATAATCTCGCGAGGTTTGACGTAACGGGCGAGAAGGATGTCGGCTTGTGTTAATCCCAAACAACGGATGTAACACATATCTTCCGGTTAGATAAACTCTATCCATTATCGCCGATTATATTTATCTGTCCAACGAAACGAAATTAATTTCGAGTAATTCCGATTATTTGCAATTCGCGGAATATGCATTCGAGATTATATCGAAGTGAAGCGACGCGTAATATATAATCGCAGAAATATAATAAATTCCGAATTATCTTCGAACAAATTATTCTATTTAAAAAAAAATTCGAAAAATTCATTGGGACACCGATAAAACCAAAACGATAGCGATAACCGTACAGTTTTGCGTCTTGTAAAAAAGTGTAATTGTGTTTTAATGAAGAACATTGCATTAACCAATATTGTATTAACTCTTAATGCACACGATGATTTTTCGGTCCCTCACACTGAAAAAAAATATACTAAGTTTTAATACATATTTCTTTGATTAGTACTAAGTAAATATTTACTTGTAGTAAATATTTAATATCTAATATTCAATGAAAAAATGATAATGAAAATTAAATTAGCTTTTGCATCAATATATGTTTGTATCTAATAAATATTTACTTAAAATTATTCAAACTAATATTTATTAAAATTTAGTAATATTTTTTTAGTGTACCGCACACAATAATTATTCATGTTCCAGGTTAATTTCCATCATTTTAATAAATAAAAATTAAATGTTAATCTTACATGTATCTTAACATATTTAGAAAGTATTTATAAAAAATTGTGTATTTAAAAAACATTATACAAATATTAAACTAATTGCCCGATGCTCTTAATTTTTCGGAAAAAAAAAAAAAAAAAAAAAAAAACAAATGTGCAGAGGACACGAATGACCCAATCGCGTGTATTAGGGTTAATTCAACATACTGACTGTATTGTGGAACAAACAGAAGGGTTGCAAAGTCAAACGGGAGGAGTGTACAGGAGAAGCGGTAATTTCGCTTTGCACCGTTGCGTTTCCGCTCTCGTCGGAAGTATTCATCGAATTCTCTCCTTCGTAAACCAGCGGCGGGATTGTTCTGCGAATTTCACAATGTTTGCAGATTCATCGTGCGAGTGTACCACTCCGGCGATTCTACCGTTTGCCGAAAATTGTTCGCGATTTGTCCGCGCGCTTTGTCCACGCCGTTTTTCACCGCGCTCAGAAAACGCGCGGTCGACATTTCGCGGCCGCCCACCTGTCTTCTGGAAAATTCTCTCGTTTTATCTCGCGTATCTTCCGCGAGAGAAAATCATCTCGATTCCCCGCGACTCGCGCGACCTTGACCCGCATCATAGCTCCGTGTCAAACTGCCGCTGCTTTTCCTCTCGACAACCGAGTCGCGTTCGCGCGGGGACTCGCTTACCAGAGCACTCAACTCGCTCGCTCGGTGTAGCCGCGGAAGCTGGAATCGCGGCTTCGACCTTGTTCCCATACACCGTGCGCGTGTTTGGAAACCTCCCCTCCCCCCCCCTGTCCACCCCCTCCTCTGACTGTTAATTACTAATTTAGTTGCGAATACATTTGCAAAACAAGCTCGCACCCCCGACGGCGGGTTGCATTAAAATCGATTAAAATTTAGCTGTCGTGCAAAAACCATTACGCGACCGGAATCAGAAACGACGAGTTTTGCGCGCGAGTTTGATTATGACATTCAGCAAATTGAGATTTCCCGTATATATGCCGGGAAAAGCGTTCTCTTTACATACACGTACATGTACGTTCCACGCTTGCACATTACGTTGTCTTCGGCCATTGACGAATTCGCGGCATGAATACAGATGAGTGCGATATGAAAAAACGTTCATCGATATTGTTTTCATAAATCCTAGATTGCATCGCACGCGTTGTTTCCCTCTCCTTCCCACGTTCGTTAGTCTGACTCGTCGTATCTCGTTGTTTTTTTGTCTTTTTTTTTTTTTTTTTTTTTTCAGATTCAGATTTGCCCAAAATTGTTCACCGTTTAAAGTAAGGCGTTGTGCTGATTACATTTGTGCGTGAAAAAATGGAAAGGATTCTCGGTGGTTGCGTCTTGCTCACTCCGGCGAATGCATCATATTTATTTGTCATTATTATACTTTGAACGTTTGAAACTCGAAGGGCGGGGTATTCCGGATCTACCGGGTGCTACGCATCCATTAATAATAACGACCGTTCTCAGATGTAACTCCGCTATTATTCCCGCATTACATTGATTTATGAAGCAGAAACATAGTTTAATTCGCGCTTAAACTACCCTTTCGTCTTCCCCGTCTCGAATTCTTCTCCCATTCTCCTCCTCGCTGCATTCCCGTCCTCCCGCTTCACGCTTAAGTCAACTCCCTGCAGCACAATAGAGGGCAATATTTATCGAACAAACGGGTTAGATTGTTTTACGAACGACAGCCTAGATTTGTTGGCCAACGAGTATATATTCCTCCCCCTCCCTCCTCCCATCCTCTACCTTTTTCACTTTCCGCTCTTTTTCCGCTCTCTCTCTCTCTCTCTCTCTCTCTTCGCTTTTTTGCCCTCTGGCATTTGCCACTTTCGCTCACCCGCGCTTCCTTCACGGACCGGAGGAATGCATTTCGGACAAACGGATTTTGCAGAATGGATCGTCCTTGACCCGTATTACCAGGGTCTAAGGGTCGAATGGCGTTCTCCCGCGTCCACCGTATATCGACACGAGCTCACGTTTGTGGTACTCACGTACTAATGACGTGCCCGAAGGCCCACAATGCTTTTCCGTTCTGCATATTATATCGATTATGCCTATTCCGTATCTCTTCCGCCTCGTTTCAAGATCTACATCTACAGACTTTCCGACCTATTTCATCCCGTCCCCTCCACCTCTTTTAATCTCGCTCTCCGCAAAGATTCCGGAAAGATTTCGACTTTCCACGTAGCGTAAAAATATATACTACGAAAAAATGTGTATGTATTTCGTGTGTGTATTCCCATTACGTATATATGATACAACCTCTATTATCCGAATGTATCGTTTAAGCTCTGTTATCTAAATGGCATTGCTAGGAGAATGAACGTCTCTCGTGTACATTTACGTTCACGCAAACATATGTAGGCGTATGTTATACACGATGTAACATATGTCTTCATCTCGGTACCCAGTAGTGTATGAAACAAACGTGTATCAACAAGACCTAAACACTAAAATGCAACATTCCCAGTCATTCTGTGGCACAGTCTTCTGCTTTAGAAGCAGGTCTCAGATGTTACGAAGCACAGAAAGAAAGCGCGGCCCCATTCATTGCAATGAATAAAGAAAGATATGTAAATTAAACAGCTCAGAAGAACTGAGAAAATAAAATGGAAAGAATGAAGGAAACTGGTAAATTACTATAATAATTTCTCTCTCTTTCTCTCTCTCTCTCTCTCTCTTTCTCTATTTCGTTACAATTCATAGAACGTTACGATAAATAGATTTTCTTCATTTGAAACCGTTTGATTATCCGTAAAAATTTCAATTATCCGAATATATCCTTTTGCCCGATTAGATCAGCTATATAACAGAAGTTCTATTATACTAATTTTTATAATAAATTATTATACAATGTACACAGGAGAGAAACAATTTTGTTAAAAAATATGTAAAAATTAAGCTAAATACAGTTCCGAAAATAATTTTGTTGGAACATGAAAATAATTACGTTGAAAACTCAAGCATAACGAGCAATGTTGCAAAAAATTTTGTACATTCTGGCAACCAGCTCGAGTATCCATCATAATTATGTATTTTGTTGGTGTAACAAATTATTTTCAGATCTTTAGCAAAAACCCTTCTTTCGTGTACTTAATCTTTCGTCTAATTTTTCTTTTCTGCTACAAGTTGCTAAATCTACTTTCTGAAAACCATGATTGATAGATTCGTTCAGGGACGATCGTCACTGAACAGGGCAAAGCTCTCGGGCGGAATATGGACGGTGGTACCGGCGGAATTGTACCCGTGTCAGCCTCAGATTGGGGCATAAATTCTTGTAGCTCCGCTATCAGCTGGCCGATCTCTTCCGAGTCCTTTCGGATGCTGCAGAGCTCCTCTTCGTTGAAGTCCGGTCTAATCTGTTTGCACAGGAGGATCTGCGAGACCACATTGCCGATATACGAGGGACCAGCGCGGTTCTCTGTAACGCGATAATGAAAACTGTGTCGTTAGATTTCTACGTCATTCAATTTCGACAATGTCTTTCTTTCTTACTTTCCCCCTCCCCCCCCCCCCCCGCCTCGGATTCGTGAAATATATCCGAGGGAAATATTTTAAGCGAAGTGTGTGTGATGGAAATAATAATCACGTTCTTATTAATAATATAATATGTTAATACGTAACGCTCTGTTTAGCGTGACTTTAATATAAAAGTGCATAGGGCGTTTCTCAACTTTTTTTTTTTTTTGACGAGATTTAAAAAAGCTTCCATAAACTTTAATATGTGCAACGGAGGGAGAAATAAGCGAGCGCCCGGAACAAGCTCTATAGTGCTAATGTCAAGGAAATAGTTATAAATTATTCGGAGCGAAGTTTCACTTATGAGAGAGAAAGATACCTTATATCCCTTATAGCGTGGCATGCGCCGTTAAAAGTTGGAAAAACGCTGTATTAACGGTACGCATGTAACGACGATTCGTCACTCTGTCTCCGACACGTGTACGTTGCGTACAATAGAATTCGGCTTGATTGTAGGAAGCGATGTGTAGTCGGAAATTGGGATTCGTCGAACGCGTAACGGCCTACAACTGTACGCGGTAGTTTTGAGAGTTATGGTCCGTTGGGATGTACACGCCGTAAATCAGTCTATCCGGCCTGGTTCAAAGCGACCGCAGAAACCGATTTAACGTTACGCCTCGGTGCAAGTCGATAACGCAACGTGACTCGATTCCGATGACACGTTTCTGTACGCTCGTTCTTGCGATCTTTTGCACAAATTGTCCCTCGCGTGGGAATATAATTAAGAGTGTTATTACCGAAAACGACGTGAATTAAATTTTGCCTCGGTCGGCGAACACTCACTTATCTCTCGAGATTAAAATCGTCAACGACCAAGTTGCGACCTTTGTACTTGTATGAAAAAGTTACCTTATGTACTTGTGTAAAAAAAAAAAGTTATAGCAACATTCCACGTGGACTCGTTCCACTTCCCTGCACATATCCGCAGATTCTTTAAATAATTTATAGATCATTATTGAAATATTGTAAACGTGCAACGCGCAACTTACCGTAATATCCGGACATGTCCATGGGTATGATGGATATGAGGTTTTTACTCTTGTGCAGTTCGCGTAAGAAGAGTTGAGCCACGTAGAACAACAGCACCAGATTTGGACTGTCAACCGGTATCCCGACGTCCATAGCACTGCAATAAAATATATTTCCAAAACGTTTTCGGTCGTATAAGATTAATTTTCAATAAGAGATCTATCTACAAAAGAGTATATATATATATATATAATTAACCTTTAAGTAGGTAGGAGTAGTTTAAAGATACGCAAGTTAGTAGGTGGAATGCTCGCACCTCAAGTAGAAATTTTTATTTTATAGTTATATTTTTACTACACCGGTAGAATTAATATTAAAGAAACAATGATAACACAATCCCTTGAGTTAAATAACATTTTGTTATTTTTAGCTTCCATATATGTGTTAAAATGTAAACCACTTCATTTCCGTGGTTAGTTTCAAAGTAAACAATATCCATATTAACGTATATATATATATATGTATATGTTCTTAGTAAATATTAAACTAAATTTGAGTCAATACATTTTATTCAATTAAATTGTTTAACCCCATTGTTTTGATTAAATTAATAATATATCAAATAGGAACAGTGGCAACCTATAGAAATGATTGAAAATAACTCAAATTGAATACGCAGAAAGGGTTTTGCTAAAGTACGTATCGAAAAATTTACTTAGATACAGATTTGAAAATAATTTTGTTGGCTCATAAAAATAGAACTTAAATGTTGACGACAACGCTATAAAAAGTTTTAATATTCTAACAATCATTTTGAACGTTCTACTTAATTCTTAATTATCTTAATGGTTCAAATAAAATTATTTTCAGCCCTATATCTATATAAATTTTTATATACATCGGCAAAAACCGTTCTTTTTGTGTATTATTTTACATTATGAATTTAATAATGTAGTATATTACATTACAGTTAAATTTGCATTAGTTACTTTTACGAAAGAAAATTGAAAAAAGTAATGAACTTTGAAACTCCTGGGCATTTGGGCATAATACCTTTTATTTTCCTTTTTCAGAACAAGATTTTAAAGAAAATTTTACCTGAAATACTGTATGGCCACTCTATTCACTTAAAGATTAAATATAATCCCAATTCGGTTTCCAATCTCACGAAGTACCTAATGCAAAAGGAGAGTGTGTATGGATGTAAACGCGATGGAAGCCACGTTGAATAAAACCGTAAAAGATCACGTTATCGTTCGTCTGAATGCACGGCATGGCAAAATCGCATTATCGCGAGAAAATACGAATTACTTTAACGACTTCCTTGTCGGGTCTCTCGGATGCGCGCGATTTTAGTTGAAGGTCCATAAATCTGATTTCACTTCCACTCCGTCTCCGTAGCTTACCGAGTTAATTACATTAAAAACATTATTATTACTGCTTACGCGAAGAGGTCACCCACGAGTACTGGGTGTCTCGTTAAGCCGTGCATCTTTCGCAGACGTGTTCAAGTGTCGGTGTGCCGGTTCTTGTATAGACAACATTGCTCCTCCATTGTTTCTCCCTTGTAACACTCGCGATAGTAAATAAAAAAAACATCGTAGTATTAACGACATACTCGTGTAAGAAATTTGAAAGACGACGGGGGAGGCAGGTGAACTTTAGGATGATATTCAAGCGCAATCCTTAATTTTAGATGATATATTAAGCGGGAGAACAAACGTGAAACGATAAACGGTTCCGAGCGGTATCACCTTTCCGCAGCGGGTCTGGTATAATAATAATAATACGTTGCCTTGAATTTCTGAAAAGAGTCACCAGCGATATTTTGTGAAATATGCCATGATGAGTAATCCGATAATGTAAAATCGTGGCACGGGGAAACAGGTACAGTAGAAGGCCGCAGGAAAACCAAGTACTCTGATTAACCCGTTTTACGTCAATTACCGCATCGGTCGAGCATTGAGCGAAGTCCTTGTAGAGAAACCATTTCGGTTGGCTTCCGTTTAATGAGATTCCAATTAACGTACGAAATAGATTGGCGCGACCGAAGGCAACCGATCTCAATCTGGCGAACATATTCGTGACATCTCCTTGCCGTTGCTAAGAGGCTAATTACCAAAGTTGCTAACAAAGCTTCTCCTCTTTTTTTTTTTTTCTTTTTTTAATATATACCTTAATTATACTTGTCTTGTGTAAAACTGTACACTTGACTATCACTCGAGGTAGACAGTCAGGAAATAAAGTTCGGATTGCATTATAATGAAAGATACAGACGGGGGATTGAAATGAGTTTACTTTCGTTTGCTGTAACTCGTGGCGGCTTTGTAGGAACGGCTTGGATTTCAATATGTCGGAATTTAAATCCTTTTGCGAGGAAACCCGTCTGGCACATCGTACAGCCGTTTGCCGCTCAAGGAAAGAAAGCTATCGATTTCACAGATTGGTTCCTCGCAAAAAGTTAAGCCAGGAAGGTTGAATCAAAGGTGGAAGTGAATTTCGTAAAAAGGTTAGCGCCACTCCCAATTACCGATTCCTCTTTCCTTCATCATTCTTTTCTCTCTCCTCTCTCTCTCTCTCTCTCTCTCTCTCTCTCTCTCTCTGCCCCTTTTTCTCTGGCTCATCTTCACTCAGCCACCTTTGAATAATACCTTCCGGGGCTTTGCTCACCTTAATGAAAACCTAAATGTTTCACGAATTCGTTTCTTTTCAAAATTCTTTTCATGCATTCTCTTACGCGAAGTGAAAGAATAAAATGCAACAATATACGCACAATATTATACGCAACTGTTTATATTCTGCACTTGTGCACTATTATTACGTTCATTTTGCTAAACAATTAATTTCAACTTTAATTGCAAAACTGTTTAAGCCACGAAAGTAAAAAAACTTGTTTTCGGTGAATCGAGACCGAGGGAAGGAGGGGGATGTAGGTAGACAAAGGAAATTAATTTTCCTATATTAATTTACAGCGAGTTTCTCCTCGGTCAAAACTTGAGCCGGCAGGTTGACCGCGAAATACTCACGTCTGAAAAAAACGTCGCGATAGATCAAAGCAAGACCGCGCGTATTTATAATTACAACCGAATATTTGGAGCGCGCTTCCGGAATGTGAGAGTAATTATTTGCCAAACGCGAAATTAGATTGTATTGCGATTGAATATGAGACCGCCACGCGCAACGGGATTTTCAATGAGCGGCGTTTAATTAGATACCAACGTCGAACGACTACCGCATTGCAAACGACCGGCGTGCACGCACCGTTTTACCTACTTTGCTTAAGCCGGATCATCCGAGCCGTTACGAAACGTTAATTATTTCATCTCCGCTTGCCCCTCCGTCTGTTATAGCGGTATTGCATCTACCCTGTTAAGCTCGGAACAATATCGCCACGTGACAAGCACTCGCGTTTTCTCCGTTTGATTACGTCGACAGCATCTGCCGCGGCGCAACAGTTCAATTACTCGCAAATTGTTATTCGTATTGGTCGTCAACTCCCAAGTATCGCAGCTCGAAGAAGTTGCAGATAACAGCGGGTATAATTTCTTTGTCCGTCTACGTCTCCTCGTGTCTATACATACATATCTGCCGCGTACGGTCTTCTCATGGAGGCGCGATCTACAATCAATCGATCATCTTTACATGCGTGTTCGATTGCGCTGCATATACGACGTATATACACGTCGCTCGATTTATGTCCTCGCGCGGACATTTCGTGCGCCGTATCGCTGCGAAACATGCAACCAGCTCGTGCATCGATTATGCAAAATACACACCAACATTTTATTCGCGCGCCTTTTTTCCCTTTTTTTTTTTGGTGCGTGTGATCAACAACCAGGCCGCGGCCCACCGCCGCGCCGGGGTACGCCTACGTTAATCTAGGAATTACGAGGAATCCCGGCTTTTCGAATTGCAAAAGCAATGCCTGGTCTCGTAACTCTCTCCCACGCGCGCTGAAATATTGATATTCAAAAATCGGTACAGTACACCTCCGGTCGCGGTGATTAAATTGTCGACAAGAGACCGTGGCAAGGACGGCGCTCGTGTGTGTCGCGTGTCATCTCGACTTTTTCGGATGAATTCTATGAAAAATTCTCTTCCCGCTTTATTTCAAATTCCTGCTTTGTCTCTTCCATCTTTCGTGCAATTTTCACCATTTTTCATTTTACACGGGAAAACGTGCACGCTCGAGAATTATTACGCTTTCAAGCACTGTTTTCATTTTATCGGCCATTCGTCCATTCAATGTTATTTGGTGGCTTGGCAATAGCCGGACGTCTGTCTAGTTGTCACTCGACGGTCCAGGAGAATTTCGAGAGCGAATCGGAGCTCCGCGATCGCGAGTCGAGGCAGGGTCGACGGTTGAATTCTGGCGATAATTGTATTTCGCCGCGCGAAATATAATACTACGTGCCAAACTTTTGCCGCGTTCTCGCGTGCGCGGGTTCGCTACGCGCGAGCGACAAATAAACGCAGCTGTAGGGAATAATCCTCCGGCATTAATATTTGATCGGTCAGGTAAGCTCCGGCTC